CATGCCAGGTTTGTTCCCATCTTTGACATTGCACTTACTCTTCCCTTAGACTCAATATCTTCCCGTGGCTCCTTATCCTTCAAGTCTCAGCCCACTCTTTGTAGAGGAACCTTCCTTGACCACTCTATTTAAAATAGCCCCCCTTCCCCTATCTATCTTATTTACCTTGTTCTCTTGCGTTTATGGCACATACCACTAACTCAGGTTATTTATCTGTCTCTCCCTGGCTTCCACCGCCGCCTTACTCCCCACCCCTGCCACCGTAGAGCGTGTGGTCAGGAGCAGCATCTTGTTTAACCTGTTCACTGCTGTGTCCCTGGTGTACAAAACATGGGCAGTGCTTAGTACAGAAGAATGAAGAGAAACTTACTCTTTTATCTTGTGCTTATCATATCAGATCATATGTCACCATAACTCTGGGATGAATCCCAAATTGTATTCTTATAGTTTCGTTTTATAGTGCCACCTACTCCCTCTCCCTAAAATTCCATCCTCGTCTTTCTGAGCTGCCCTCTGTGGCATTGAAGCTATCTTAATCTCTGAATTTATGTAATCTTGTTTAAGAATGTACTGAGGTTTAGACAAGTTGCCCAAAGTAACACTGCTGTAAATGGTGTTTCTAGGATTTGAGCTCAGATCTCTCTCTGACTAGAGCTCCTCTCTGCTGTGCTGGTGTGGGGGCTGATGTTTTTGGTGAGTGGGACGTAGAAATCCAGAATTAGAATAGGAGCCCTGTCCATTTGGAATAGAAATAGCAAGCATGTATTATTTGTTTCTATAAGAAGAACTGGGTGATACTTGTTAAAAAGAATTCTAAAAGTAACTTGTTTTTTTTAGATTAAAATTAGTATGTACTTGTTATAAAATACATGGAATATACAAAAAATATAAAGAAGAAAGTAAACACCATCTGTAGTCCTACCGCCCAGAGATAACCACTGTTAACATTTTAGAACATTTTTGTCCAATATTTTTCTGTGCAGAAATAAAATATTGTGATGTCAGTTTCATACATAAATCTTTCTCTAAATTTTGAAATCATTTCCTAATGTAATTACCAGATCAAAGTGTATTGTCAAAGTCCTCCCCAGAAAGATGATAGCAATTTATATTTCCATGAGGAGAGTACCTTTTGTACCTCGCCAGTATTTTTAGTTTCTATTTCTTGAATTATTGTTGATACTAAACTTGAAATATATGTTTATTATTAGTTACCTACTATCTGTCTTCTGTGACTTGTCTCTATCCATTGCCTAGTTTTGTGTTAGCAACTTAGTATATTTTAAATCAATTTTGGAATTGTTTTATATTGATAATTGACATTTCGTCATATTTGTGGCAAACTTCCATTTTTTTGCCATTTTGAATAAAATGATGTTCTACCTATAATGCTAAATCTTTAATAAGTCTTAAGTCTCTTTAATGTTTTAATCCTGGGAGTAAGTTTATTATTAATAGAAGTTTTTGATATTTTAAATTTTTTCACATGTAAACTGTTTGTTTTCATATTAGTAGGCATTAATTTGATAAAGATCTTTTTCATTTGAATAAGTTGTGTGGACTAATTGTCAATAACAAATTATTGCAAATGACCTCTTTTTATTTTTAATATATGGTAAAAAGAGGATGACAGGATAAATAGTTTCCTAGAACTGAGAATGTAGAATTGGAGGAAAAAATTTTTATGCTTGGAAAAGTGTATTGAAAATGAGCGACTTGAGACTTCTGAATATGCTGCCACAGCACTCCCACCGCTGAAGCAGGTCACATGCAGTCTCTCCCCCTCAAGCAAATATTTTTAATTTTGTGATAATGCTTCAAATTTCATGGTAAGAAAAGTGGAAACTAGGACCCATCTCAGATAGCTTTTCTAAAACTTTTAAATTTTTAAAGAGAATTTATATCTTAGATTTAAAAGCATTTTTAATGGCTTATAATATTAACATAGAAGACAATTTGAAGATAAAAGCAAGATATAGATAACCTGAAATGCGTAGAACATTTTCATTTTTTCTTTGTTTCACAGTGAAAATACCCCAAATTCATTTTCAGAGAAAAACTTTCTGGAAGTGACTTCACAGATTTTTGTGGTTGGCCTCCACTCATTTCCATTTGAGGTGTGGTTTTAATAACTTTGTCAAGGTTTTCCCTTTATTTCCCCATCAGGGGTGTTTCTTAATTTCCTTTTTTTTTTTTTAAGATTGGCACCTGGGCTAACAACTGTTGCCAATCTTTTTTTTTTTCCTGCTTTATCTCCCCAAACCCCCCCTGTACACAGTTGTATATCTTAGTTGCAGGTCCTTCTAGTTGTGGGATGTGGGACGCCACCTCAACGTGGCCTGACGAGCGATGCCATGTCCACGCCCAGGATCCGAGCCCTGGGCCGCCGCAGCGGAGCGCACGAACTTAACCACTTGGCCACGGAGCTGGCCCCCCTCCTTTTTTTTTTTTTTTAAATGTTAGGACACCTTAGAGCAGGTGGGCTATGCAAGAAGAGCCATTGAATATATGAAAATGAAATTTTAGAACCCTATATCTTATTGTTTTAGATCCTAATTTTATTTATGTTGCATAGAGTACATAAAAGTATATGTATATAATCCCTAAGTAGATAAATGCATTACAAGTTTGGAGACCTCTGTCTCAGAGAATCTCTTGATTGCTATGAATTCTTTCACACACACACACACACACACACACACACGGCCATGCAGAAACATAACTGTGCAAAGGGTTCTTTGAGTCCATTCATCGTACCTCTAAAATACCTGAATTCCCATTTAACAGTAACCTTCCATGCCTCCTGAGTCCACTAGCCACTTTGTCTACTGATTTAACTTTATTAACCAACACTGATGTCAGTCCTTATGGTTACAGCCCAGGATTCACTCTTAGATCAGTTAATCTTGTGCACTGATCTGTCCTGACTTCAGCTTAAGTAGACCATGGGCTCCTTAAGAGCGGACACTGTTTATTCAGCTCTGTTCAGCCCAGTGCTTCACACAAAGTAGATATTCAGCAAATGTAAAAAGTGCATCAAATCTTTGTGAAGTCTCCTGTCAGTGACCTAGTCCTACTGAGTACAGCTTTCTGCTCTAGTCACACTCCGTCCTCCTTCCCCTTCCCACAGTGCCACCTCACACCCTGCCATGCCATCCAGTCATTTCTGTTTTAAAGTGTCTTATGCCATCTCAAGATGGCCACTGTTAGTTCTTTGGTGACTAAAGTGTTTCTGGAAAGCCTCTTGAAGTGGTATTAGTATTCATATCCCCTGGTATAAAGCTGGTAAATGGCATGGTCAGAACGAGGGACAGGTTTCCAACCCTTAAGGACTCTACAAAGGTCTCTGGATTTCTCCTGGAGCCTTGGTTTGTAATAGGTTAGATCACTGTTGTTGAGTAACCAGATGACTACAGGCAGTCCTTATCGTCAGTTCCCTGTGGGACATAACCCTAGATCAACACACCTTCTTTGTTTTCAGCATGAAAGTAATGGCACTAGAGAGTACTAAACCAGAAGAAGATGGTTATAAAATTTTGCTTGTTAGAGACTGGACTGGTGGTATCCAATAGAAATATAATGCTAGTCACATGTGTAATTTAGAATTTTCTTGTAGCCCCATTTTTTTTTAAAGATTTTATTTTTTTCCTTTTTCTCCCCAAACCCCCCAGTACATAGTTGTATATTCTTCATTGTGGGACCTTATAGTTGTGGCATATGGGATGCCACCTCAGTGTGGCTTGATGAGCAGTGCCATGTCCGCGCCCAGGATTCAAACCAATGAAACACTGGGCCAACTACAGCGGAGCACGCGAACTTAACCACTCGGCCATGGGGCCAGCCCCTCTTGTAGCCACATTTTAAACAGTAAAATGAAACAGGTGAAATTAGTTTTAATATATTTAACCCACTATATTCAAAATATTATTTAATATATGACCAATATTAAAAAGATGTTGATGATATATTTTATATATTTGTGGAGAGCACATCTCAGTTCTGACCAGCACCTTCTCAAGTACTCTGTAACCGCAAGTGGCTAGGGATTCTCATTGGACAGCATGGTTCTAGAAATGATGATATTTTATGGTACATCTTGTTATAGGAAGTCAGGGCCACCTCTCTCTCTCTCTTTTTTTTATAATTAGACAAATTTGTAGTTGTATTTTAAGGGGTTCTGTACATTTCCCCTGTTCAGACCTTAAGTTGAATTATTGGGAGGCTTGGAAATATCAAGGAACTGTATAAATTAGCTGCATTTTTAGAGAGGTTGTATAGTTTCAAATATGAGAGGACAGCAGAGTTTTTAGCAGCTCTCTCTTGCTTTCTTTGGGCTGGGCTGTTTTATTTTCTTGTTTTTTAGGGCTGGAGCTTTAACCTTAAAAGCTGTGCTTTTCATAGTTGGGCCAGCCTCATCCTCCTTCAGACAGATTTTTAGGTGGAGGGAAGCTGCAGGGTGTGGAAGGCGTAAAGCTTCTTGTTGGTCAGGTGCCAGTAAATCTCCTCACATTGAGACTTTGTTTTCTCTAAAAAATACAAATATAAAAGATGAAGCAAAAAAGTTTTTTGTAAACATAGAGAAAATTTATTTAGTTATATGGAGCCAGTCTTGGTTGGTTAAGGCTGATAGTTAGTGCCCTTGAGGAACATGACTAGATTTCATTTTTTAAAGAAAGAACATGATGGCTGGTTTGCAGACCAAGCACCTTGGATTTGAACATTGGCCAGGGGATTCATGTTTTATACCAGTGTGATGGTGGATAGCATTAAAGTTCCTTAAATCTGTTTTAAAACCGTTTTTCACTGTTTTAAGATTCTTAAAAAACAGACTGAAAAATGGTTTCAAAACATTTAATTCTACAATTTCAACTTTTAAAATTATCAAAGTAATTTAAACAATATTATTGAAAGTTTGGAAAGGAATAATTATTCATAATCCCAACACCATAACATTATTTTTGTCTGTTTGCCATGTTTACATACATATTTTAAGATAGCTGTGATGAATGGGTACATTTAATTTTGTAGCTTTTTGGAATGTATTACTTTTTAAAATAATGTTACTTAGTAATAAAATAACATTTTATTTTGTCATCTTGCAATAGCCTGGACATAGGAACAGGCTGGTGATGTGATTCCATCCTGTAAAGTAGTGCAGGGATCCACTTACGGTCGTCTGTTGAGTTGTAATACTTCAGCCTGTGGGAAGGAGAAAGAGAGGAAGTTCAGGACAATTTGCCATTGAGGAGGTGAGCAGGAAGTTGTGGCATTTCTTCCACTCACGTTGTGTTGGTGAGAACTCAGTCACATGGCTAGATCTAGCTGTGAGAGAGGCTGTAAGGGAGATATAACATTGTAGGCACGTGCCATACACAGCTTTCTCGGTATTTCTTGGTATTTTCTTAGGATGGTTTTTATAGAACTGGGCTACTGGTCCAGACAGTATGAACTTTTGAGTAGAATTTTTGTTTCTACAATACTTTTTTGTTGTTGAGAAAGATTCATCCTGAGCTAATTTTCCTCTACTTTATATGTGGGTCACCACCACAGCATGGCTGATGAGTAGCATAGATCCACGCATGGGATCCGAGCCCATGAACCTGGGCTGCCAAAGCAGAGTGTGCCGAACTTAACCACTACACCACAGGACTGGCCCCCGTCTACATTACTTTTTTTAAGCAACCATTTTGGTACTCTGGAGATTGACCAACAGCCAGTTGTTATTAAAACTTTGATAACTGTTATGCTGTTGAACTTGGAGTAAGAAAAATGGGAATCAGTGGCTTTCTAGCTTGGGGCTTCTCACATCCCACTCCACTCTGTCCCAGCTCGGTTGGCATGGAGGTTCTGCCAGCCAGAAGCAGGCCATAAAAACCTCAGCTTGAAGGGGGCTCAGCTCTTTGGAGTGGTATGTGATGCCCGGAAACATTGTCTGTGGATGTGAATTTTCAGAGGTGCAAGGGAGGGCCAGGGCTCAACTCAAATAGCCGAGGCGTGCAGTACTGTTTGGGGCAAATATGTTACTGGATGAGGCTGCACGTAAGCACAGGAAAGACCTGAGAAGGCCCACGGTCTTCGCATACTTTTGACGGACCCTGAAGTTGCATGCATGTACCTAGGAGACTTGAAAGGGCCCTATGGGAAGATAACCTGGGACAAACCTGACAACAGACCGAACTTCGAGTGAGCTCCCCTCCTTCTACACAGATCCATTGGCAGAGGTGGGAGCCCTTACTGTTTCGAGGTGTTTGAGCATATCCTCTTTCTAATCACAAGTTGACCACTAAGTTATGCAAAGGGGCAACCCTAGCAAGCCAGCTTTAAAAATAAAAACAAGAGGCCTTTCCTCCCCGCGGCGGGGCCCGGCGGCGCGGCCGCATCTGGGGGGCGACTCGGCGGATTCAAGATGACCAACGAGGAGCCTCTTCCCAAAAAGGTTCGACTGAGTGAAACAGACTTCAAAGTTATGGCACGAGATGAGTTAATTCTAAGATGGAAACAGTATGAAGCATATGTGCAAGCTTTGGAGGGCAAGTACACAGATCTTAACTCTAATGATGTAACTGGCTTAAGGGAGTCTGAAGAAAAACTAAAGCAACAACAGCAAGAGTCTGCACGCAGGGAAAACATCCTTGTAATGCGACTAGCAACCAAGGAACAAGAGATGCAAGAGTGTACTACTCAGATTCAGTACCTCATGCAAGTCCAGCAGCCTAGCATTGCCCAACTGAGATCAACAATGGTAGACCCAGCGATCAACTTGTTTTTCCTAAAAATGAAAGGTGAACTGGAAGAGACTAAAGACAAACTGGAACAAGCCCAAAATGAACTGAGTGCCTGGAAGTTTACGCCTGATAGGTAAACAAATCATACTCCCCAGTCAAGACTTCCCTGACAGTCCCACTACGGGAAAGCTGTGGTGGGACAGCCAAGTACTCGTTTCCACACCAAGACTCAGACTTTTTGAGCCAAAAAAGCCACATTCTTTTACTATCCAGCTTGTAATGGTTAATGTAAAACTTACCAGATGAACCTTGTGTTTCAGCTTTTTTCTCTTCCCCCTCCCCTTGCTTCAGAGGCCTGGTGGCGTCGGACTATTCCGAAGAAGTGGCCACCTCCGAAAAATTCCCCTTCTAGAACATGTAGACACTTGAGAAATGTTTCTGTTTGAAGAAAATAGAGGGAGAAACACAAGTCTTAAGTCTGTGGCACACTGTGTCTTCAGACAGTTTGGAGGAATGAAAACCTAGAGATTTAAAATCATGAGTTGAACATGTAAAATTCCAGTAAAATGTAAACATGGAATATGCATCGCTCTTACCCTTGAGCATAGTGACTTAGAGACACTGTATAGCAGTTTTGCCAATAAGACTGTGGACTTCGTGCTTGTTGTTGAACTTCTGGGTCAAAACTCCAATGAGGTGAATTTTGCATTTAAAGGGTTTATTTGCCAAACAGGCAAAAAGTTAATGGCGAAGTGTCGAATGCTTATCCAGGAGAATCAAGAGCTTGGAAGGCAACTGTCCCAGGGCCGTATTGCACAACTTGAAGCAGAGTTGGCTTTACAGAAGAAATATAGTGAGGAGCTTAAAAGCAGTCAGGATGAACTGAATGACTTCATCATCCAGCTTGACGAAGAAGTAGAGGGTATGCAGAGTACCATTCTAGTTCTTCAGCAGCAACTGAGGGAGACACGCCAGCAGTTGGCTCAGTACCAACAGCAGTAGTCTCAAGCCCCAGCCCCAAGTACCAGCAGGACTACATCTTCTGAGCCCGTAGGACAGGCAGAGGCCGCGGGTAAAGACTGCAGTCGTCTGGCCAATGGACCAAGTAATGGCAGTTCCTCCCGGCAGAGGACGTCTGGGTCTGGATTTCACAGGGAGGGGGACACAACCGAAGATGACTTTCCTTCTTCTCCAGGGAATGGTAATAAGGCCTCCAACACCTCGGAGGAGAGAACTGGCAGAGGAGGTAGTAGTTACGTAAACCAACTCAGTGCGGGTTATGAAAGTGTAGACTCTCCCACAGGCAGTGAAAACTCTCTCACACAGCACTCCAATGACACAGACTCCAACCACGACCCTCACGAGGAGAAGCCGGTGAGTGGGAAAGGTAACCGAACTGCGGGTTCCCGCCACGTGCAGAATGGCTTGGACTCAAGTGTAAATGTACAGGGTTCAGTTTTGTAATATTTTTTCCAGCAAATTTTTATACAGTGTCATTTAATTTGGGAGAGGATACTGTCCAGAAAATTAACGCATACTTTTGTCACAATTTGCCTTTTTTGTGGGTGTGTGTGTTTTTTCTGTTTTTTTTTTTTCCTTGCTTCAATACCTCTGCCACTTTGGAAATTGTAATAGTTAATTACTTTGAATGTTGCTAAAAGGACATTTTGTGTAGGGTCAAGTTATTTTTATATGAGTTAATGTGAAGTTGTAAATGGAAATCCTTCCTTAAAGTATAACACGATGATGTCTGTATAAATCTGTGTCTCTCCTAGAGCCTGTGCTGTGTACGGGCATCCTACTCGTGCTGTTCTCTTAGACTCGCGCACCATTCAGACTTGTTAGAGTAGATGTGGGTGTATGACTGCCAAGTTTGCCCAGTACAGTAGTTTTATCACTAAAAGTTGGACTTGTTGATGGAGTCCTCTAGTAGTTTCAGTGTTAGATACAGTTTTTTCCACCATACATCTGTGCATTTTCTCTTTAGGTGACTGAATGTTTAAGAAATTTGTGTGCATAGTTACTCAGTTTTTATGAACTGTTGTATCCTGTTAATGCCTATTGCTCTGTGACTCCAGTATATCTTACCTGTACTGACCAAACCTAAATAAAGATTTTTATTGTAAAAAAAAAAATAAAAATAAAAATAAAAACAAGAATATATTTTTAAAAAACAGAACTGATCAAAGATATCAGTGATTGCATACCACGGGGAGACAGATTTCACATATTCGGTCCAGGCGTGATACTAAACAAAAACAAAAGAAGTCAACAAAACAGCAACAACGCCTTAAGGAGGAAAAGAATCAGAATCTAGAGTTGCTACAATGTATTGTCTAAAATCCCTTGGTTTAACAACAAGAAAATTACGAGCCATGTAAGGAAACAGGAAAGTGTGACTCGTGTTCGGGAAGAAAAGCAGTCCAAAAAAATTATATGAATGTCCCCAAATGTTCGATTTAGTAAAGACATCAAATCAACTATAATAAATAGGTTAAAAGAACTAAAGGGAACCATGTTTAAATAATTAAAGGAAAGTATAACAACAATAAATCAATAAATGGATATTCTCAGTAAAGGTATAGAAATTATTAAAAATGAGAACAAACAGAAAAAAAAAAAGAAAAAAAGAACCACCCTTTGAGACAGTGTCCTAAGTGGGTACTTCTCCTCTGTTGTGTTCTTTCCTGACACTTTTAACCTGTATGATCATGAGAAAACAACAGACAAAGTGCAACTCGGGATCCTTCTACAAGAACAGCAAAAACTGAGAAATTACTATAGATCAGAGGAGACCGAGGGCACATGATGACTAAATGCAGTGTGATATCCTGCACTGGATCCTGAAACAGAAAAAGGACATTAGTGGGAAAGTGGTGAAATCTGAATAAAGTCTATATTTTATAGTTTTGTTCCAATGTTAATTTCTTACATTTGACAAGTGTACCATGACTATGTAAGATATTAACATTAGGAGAAACTGGGTGAAGCATATACAGGAACTCTGTACTATCTTTGCAACTTTTCTGTAAATGAATGTACCTTTATTCCAAAGTAAAAAGTTAAAAAAAATCAAGTGGAAATTCTAGACTTGAGGAATATAGTACCTGAAATGAATAATTCATTAGAGGGGTTCAATAGCAGTTTTGAGATGCCAATGAAAAGAATCAGTGGCTTTAAAGACAAGCCAATAGATATGGTTCAGTCTGAAAAACAGAGAAAAATGATTGAAGAAAAATGGAGAGAGCTTCAGGGATCTGTGGAAAACATGATGCATACAATATATGTGTGATGGGAGTCCCAAAAGAAAGATGCAGTTAATAGCTTTTGGGAAAACTTTCTAAATTTGGTGAAGAACTTTAAACTACACATCGAGAAGCTCAGTGAACTCAGTGAGATAAATACAAAGAGACCCATGCCTAGGCACAGCATGAGCAATCTGTTGAAAGACAGAGAAAATCTTCAAAGCAGCAGGAGAAAAATAACTTTACATACAGGGAAGCATCAGTGTGATTAATGGCTGCCTTCTCATCAGAAACAGTGGAGGCCAGAAGGCAGTGGGATGACATATCCAAAGTGCTGAAAGAGAAAACTGTCTATGAATAACTCTATATTTAGCAAAAATACCCAAAAATGAAGGTGAAATAAGTACCTTCTTATGTAAAGACTGAGAGAATTTGTAGCAAGCCCACCTGTCTTACAAGAAATACTAAAACTAGTTCTTAAGGTTGTCAGGAGATGACACCAGGTGGTAACTCAAATACACAGGAAGAAATGAAGACACGGGAAATGTAAACATGTAGGTTAATACAAAAACTTTAAATGCATGTTTTCTCATTTCTTACCTTTTTAAAAAGGCATTGAATTTTATCTAAAAACAAATTTCATATCTGTAACATTTCATTTCCCCTCATCCCCACCATGTTATAGTTTATTCATCCTAGTTATAAGCATTGTTCACAGCTGTTTGCCTTTTGGTCTATAGGATCTCAAAATTTTTGCTTTCAGGACTCCTTTCCACTCTGAAAAGTAACTGAAGACTCCAAAAAGCTTTTGTTTATGTAAGTTTTATGTATTGATTTTTTTTATATTAGAAAATAAAACAGAAAAAGTTCAAATACTATTCATTTCAAAATAACAATAATGCCAATTATATGTTAACATAACTTTTTTTTTTAATGAAAAAAAGGTTTATTTTCCAAAGCAAAAAAGTTAGGAGAGTGGCATTGATTTACACTTTTCAAATCTCATTAGTGTCTGGCTTAATAGAAGACAGCTGGGTTCTCATGTAGGCCTCTACATTGAACTTGTTGCAATATGTTGCTTTAGCTGAAGTGTATGAAGAAAATCTGGCCCCGCTCAGATGTAGTTAGAAAAGGGAGGTGTAATCTAGTAGTTTTTCCATGCAATTGTGGATATTTTTCTTTGATATGATCCCAAAACTCAAGAAGTGGTAGTTTTGTGAAGGTTAGTTGCAATGTGGAATCTGAAACATAATCAGTGAATTTTTTGATTCATTATTACATTAAATAATTTACTTCATTACATTAAAACCTAGTGTTCCTATTTATCTCTAAAGGATAATGGCATAAAAGTTTTGTCTAAAGTAATTACATTTGGAAAAAAATTATTAGGGTAATTGAGTGTTGCATGAGAATGTCTTTGAAAAGGTTTTTAATTAGTTAGCGTTTGAGATTTCTAAATTTAATGACTTCTGTAAGTTAGGGCTCAGTCTAAATTCCTGGAAGCTGGAGTAATGGATTATCTATCGTTATTATGTGCTTAATTTAAAACTTAGTTACATCATCATCTTCGTAAGAGTAATACCTGCTTGTGGTAAAGTTAAATAATTCAGAAGGATATAAAATACAGTTAAAGGAAACAGCTCCTTACCAATTCCCCAGAGACGAGCAATGTTTATAGTTTGAGTGCTTTTCCTGAAAATTTGTTCACATATCAATCTCTTGATATATATTATATGTATACATATGAAAATCTTTTTTAAGCAAATAGAATCGTGTTATACATATTGTTCTGTAAGTACATACATCTTAATTGTCTTCGAATCAGTATAGTAGATATATCTTTCTCTTTTAATGATTGCTTAGTATCTGTGTTACTAGAGCGGTCATTGGAAGAAAAAAGTTTTAGTCATAAAACACCATTTTTAAAATTAGTTCCCACTCAAATATTGCTACTGATCCTTTGTTAGCATTTTTATTGGTCAAATACAACAAAATCAGTTGCAAACGAAAATTGCATCTCGCAAAGCATGCAGGTTTTTATGAAGTTCATGGGTAAAGAACTGAAAGCTCTTGACAGACTGACAGTTGAAGAAGAGAAAATTATCAAGGATGATGACATACTAGATGCTTTTAAGGGAGCCTGATTTGATTACAGTGACTTTTGATGCAAATGATTAATGAGAGGCACTTAGGAAAATGGATGAATCCATTCAATATTTTTGAAAAGAAGATCGTTGTGATTGATTGTCCCCAAAGAGAAGAACATGAAGGACGTGTTATATTGATTTATCATACAATTTTGTTGAAAAGATTACACTAAAAAATAAAGTCCACAGTTGATTCTTTTTTTATTCTAAGAATTTGTATATAGTTGAAGTTATAACTTAAATCTTGTTAAAATGAAGATAACTTAAGCCTGTTTTTATATTTTTATTTTTTAAGTCAAAATCTTGAAAGTCAATTATCCAGTGTTTACAATACCATTTTGGCCCTTAGTTTAAGAGAATTCACTAAGTGCTCTTTTCCCAGTATCAGTCATTTTTGGAAAACTAGGAACTCATGAATTCCATTGTATGGATGTACTGTAATTTAGTCAGATCCCTGCCAGTCAAGATATTTAGGCTGTTTTTTTGTGGCTCTCGTAAACAGTGCTGCAGTGAATATCCTGTGCATTTATCTTTACATTCTCATATGAGTATTTCCATGGTATACGTTTCTAGAAGGAAAGAACTTGGGTTAAAAGCTATGTGCATTTACCATTTTGACGTCTCTAAAAGGGTTACATCAATTTACATTCTCACTACAGAACTCTCTATACACTTTCACAGTGTATTCCTTGTTGTCCAGATGTTTTCTTGAATTAGCACAGTGAGAGTTTGTACAGTGAGTTTGAATAGTGAGAGATGTGGTTTTATCCAAATCTGTTTAGTTCTTGAGATTTGGATGGCCAGAGTAGGGACAGTCTGGATACTGAGGGGTTCATTTGAAAATTTAGCCTGTCTGGTTCCTGAGTTGGATAGAGAAGGTTTGAATAACACAGGATACCTGTTGTTTCTTTCTTATATCATCTCCGCACCCGCACGTTGCTGAGGTATTATCGATCTTTTTAATCCTTGCTAATGTGATAGGTTAAAATAAAAACTGTCTCATTAGGTTTGTTTTGCTTCTCTGTAATTGTAAGTAATACTATGCATATTTTTATTTTAATGGCATTTATATTTGTAAAAATACATAAAATATCTTATTGTATTACAAGAGTAATATTTCAATATTAGAAAAGATGGTCTTATAACAATATTGCTAATGTTTTATATAATCTCTTTTGACTTTTATGGTAATTTTTTGTGTGTAGTAGTTTTATATTTTATTTAGTGAAATGTATCACTTTTTCCCTTTTAAGGCTTCTGGTTCTGTGTCATACTTAGAATATTATCTCCTATGTTCAGGATAATAAATACATTCTTTCTTGTATTCTTCTAGTCTTTTACATTATTCTTTTGGTAATTTTATTTCTACAGTTTGTTCATCATGTTTTGATCTTTGCTCCATCTGGAATTTATTGTGGTGTAAGGAATAAGGCAGAGATCCAGCTTTTTTCTTTACTTACTATCTCACTTCCCCTAAATCGTTTATTAAATAATATATCCTGGGGCCAGCCCCATGGCTGAGTGGTTAAGTCTGTGTGCTGCACTTCGGCAGCCCAGGGTTTCACTGGTTCGCATCCTGGGCGCAGACCTAGCACTGCTCATCAAGCCGTGCTGAGGTGGTGTCCCACATGGCAGAGCCAGAAGGACCTGCAACTAGAATATACAACTGTGTACTGGGGGGCTTTGGGGAGAAGAAGGAAAAGGAAAAAAAAAGAACATTGGCAACAAATGTTAGTTGAGGTG